ACTTAGAAGCAACATTACAGTAAAATCTGACTTCATTACATGTAATTTGCAAATGAACCATTTGATAGAAAAAAAATTGTTACTTTGTATAATAATATCTTTGAACGTTTACTAGGCTGTAGGCACTGTGATGTGTGTAGACACATAGTGGTATATTAGTAGCATTAGACTTGCCACAGAGTTTAAAGAATGCCTGTACTGACAGAATATAGAGGCTGCTATCGCTCACCTTTCTTACTGACAATTCTAGTGGTCATGCTGATCCATTGGCTTTAGTACTTTATTTTATAGCAGGAACGCTTGTTCCCTCTACCAAGTTTTGACAGGAGATTTGCTGCAATTCTGTGTGTCGCATAGGGCAGCCATTCACTTGAACGGGCCACCCTATGCACATTTATTGCCCCAAAAGAAGCCCCTTCTCCTTTTCAGGTGACAACTTTCACACGATTTTTAAATGTTGCAGTTTGCAACAATAACAGCAGAGTCACATCTCATTTGGGGTGCCATTGAAGGATAATGGCACCCAAACACTCGCAATCCCAAATTAAGAGATGACTTAAAGAAAGTATGCAGAATAGGATATTTGACTCTGCACTTTCGCTTTCTAATTTGGATGCCAGTACCACATAACTTTGAACAAAGCCAGAAAGGCAGCCCTCTAATGTCCTTGGTATCGGTTTCCTTTTAATGATAGTTGGACTGTTAAACATCCATGCTCCCATGTATGCATGTTCTTTTAAACTGTAGAGACCCAATATGCAGCTATTCTGTGTAGGAAACATCAGCTTGTTGGCTGAAAAATCGCACAGCTAGCATTTAGCCCCGTAAAGGTTTTGTAAAGCGATCACAAAGTGCAGTAACTCATAGCATCCGCAATTCATATTTTATTCGTGTTATCAGTAAAAAATGACTTAGAATTGGATGTAAAGGGTTAATCATTGGGATAGATGGACTGGAAATGCAGGTGTTTGTGACCCTTTATAAAAAGGATAGCATAGAAGATGAAAAGTAATACTACAAATGCATCATTTTAGTCTATCTAGACCAGCCTTTCTCAACCTTTTCAACACAGAGGAAACCTTGATATGACTTTTTGGTCTCGGGGAGCCCCTGCAAGAAACTGCTGTATCTACAGCTCATGATACATTTGTGTGATGATCAGTGGGAAGAATGTTCCTTACACTTGTGGTCATGGAGAATAATTTCCCCCTTATAGATAGCTAAATATATCAATTTGGAATTTATCTGAGAAGCGGATTTTGCTCATTGCTCAAGGAACCCCTAGTAACCTCTGGAGGAACCCTAGTTGAGAAACTCTGATCTAGACTAATTAGATTTAGGGGGTCTTTATAGTTGTATTCTTACTACTGCTCAGTGATGCTTACAGTACATACAGTACATCTCGATTCCTACCTTTCACATAAGCAAAGGATCTTCAAACTTTTCAGTACTAGGGCCACATTCTGTATCTTACAAAAGTGTGGGCCCAAAAAAATCCGAATTATTGTCTTACATCTAGGTTCCCATCAGAGTCCCCTTACATTATTGTCCCCATCTGAATAACGCCTTAAATCAGAGTCACTCATACATCAGCATTTTCATTATACCAGGGTCCCCATCAGAGTCCCCCCTTATATCAGGGTCCCCATCAGAGTCCTCTCTTAGATCAAGGATCCCCATTAGAGCTCCTTTACATCAAAGTCTGCCATAGGAGTCCCCCTTACATCCGGGCCATCATCAGAGACCCCCCCTTACAACTGAAGCGGAGACTATAGGCATTGAGGAAATGCCACTGACCTTAGCTGAGGGCCAGGTAAAATCTTGTAGTGGGCCAAATGTGGCCCACGGGTTGTAGTTTGGAGTCCCCTGACATAAGCCATTTTATCCATCCTGACACATCTCCAGGCTTACTGTGTGACATCAGACTTCAACTTGAAAAATGTGCTCCTCAGACTTACAGTTATTATTTGTATTCAACCACTCTGATAATGGAGTTTATCGTGTGTTTGATTTACTCAAAAGCATATTTTCTGCAGCATTCTCACATGTTTTTAATTCATAGGATATATAAAAGTGACTTCTAAAAATAAGTTCCAAAGACAAATTAATGAAGAAATTTATTTAATTATTTGTAACTAATAATTGTAGTTTTTTGTATTTAAGTGAAAAGGCTTTGCTGATAAGGTATGACAGAGATTGTATTCTGGAAATACCGCTCTGAATGTTTTTTTTTTTTGTTTGGTTGTTTTTTTCTTTAACAGATGTTTAGTTTTCTTTTGTATGTGACCTATTGTGATGAAATGTATGATGTTCCAGAAAAATTATTTGTGGACTGTGAATGTTGATAAAATTAAAGATTGTTGTTGCTAATTATATAGTCTGTTGTCCTTTTTACAGCACAAAATTATATTTAAAAGCTGCCATTAGTAATGCATAAACACACAGGTATCACAAGATATATTGGGGGAATTGTATTAAAGTGTTACTAAACACAGGACCCTTCAGTCACTGTATCTGGTCTCTCACAGTACACAGAACATAGAAATGCAATTATTTTAGTAAATAAAAACTGCTAAATAACTTTTCTCATCAGCAGTTAGAGCAATCTTGTGACTTCTATCAGTGTCCAGCAGCACATTGGTTAACGTTTGTAGGAGGAGTTTTAATTTTGCTCTAGGAGAATGCAGAACCGCTGACCTCTGTCTGGACAGTGCTGATTGGCACTGTGCTGATCACATGCACTCTCATGCAAAAACACTAAACAAAAACAAAAAACAAAAAACAAAAAACACTCTAGCAATACACACCAAACTGGGCATGTGCAGAGTGACTCCACATGATATGTCTTATCAGGAGATAAGAGGGGGACACTGGAAGAAGGGGAGGATCAGAGAAGTCAAGATCAAACAGCATTTTTACTCAATGCAAGGAATTAACTCCTTAGGTTCCACGGTGAGTGTAACAAGCAAACTTTACTGCATATATAGACTGATTTTACTGTTGTCTGTTTAGTAACACCTTAATGTAAACCCATAACTTCTTTTGACAAGTGCCCCCATAACAACTCATGTGCTATGGGGGCACCAATATGGGTGCATTCCTGAGCTGGACACAGACACAGTTGGCCCCCCTCTGCTCTCACCTTACAGCATTTGACTCCTAGATTGTAAGCTCGAAAGAGCAGGGCCCTCAAACCCCTCGTGTATTGTATTGTCTCATGTTCTGTTCCCCACGCTAATGTACAGCGCTGAGCAAACCTTTTGGCGCTATATAAATACTGTATAATAATAATTTGACTGACATCAGCAGTGTAGCCTGTGAGAGCAGGAAGAGGGGAGAGAAGAGCTGCAGCCAGGCAAAGAGCTGGATCGATAGAGGCCTCAGGTAAGTGTTTAAGGAGGGGAGGGGACAGTGGGGTGTATTTTTGTACCTTAATGCAGGAAATGCATTAAGATGAAAAAAAACACTGAGACTTTAAAACTACTTTACCCTAGGTTCACACCTATGTGTTTTCTGCAGTGTTTTACAGAAGCGCTCTACAGTCCATTTAACATGATTTCCTATGGTTCACATCTCTGCATTTCCACCCGTGTGTTTTTTGGAAAGGGTCAAGGACTTTTTTAAACGCAAAAAGTTGCGCTTTTGGTTCTATAAACTTCAATGGAAATCTCCAGAAAAGTATATCGTGCTTTTTTGCCACGTTTATGATGTGTTTTTGATGCGTTTCTCTTTTTAAATCTGCCTAGCAACAAGAAAAAATGTAAAATGCATCAAAAATACATGTCCAAAAATGCAAAACGTGCGCAGAAACTGATCAAATTCAAACTGCATAGGTGTGAACCTAGCCTTAACCTCAAAACTGTCATAATTAATGAGCATTTTTTAAAAATACATGCAAATATGTTTATTCACCAGTAGCAAATGTATTATGCAAATTGTGTACAGAAAGTAATTCCGCCCACGGGTTGTGTTGAAAATGAAAAAAAAAAAGCCTATAGATTTTGTAACTGTAAACAGACAGTTTTGATAAATGCCCGTTATACTTATTAGTTTTATCCAAGTCTTCCCACTTCTGAATGGGGTTACTAGGTCTTTGGAGCATAATAGACACTTAATAATTTTTTTTTCTCCAGCAAAAATGGAGAAAAAAAAAATGGAGCTAAGGATCTACCACTAACTGTTTTTATGAGTTACACCATATTTGTAGGCACAGAGCTGTGGGCAGAATACATAGCCCATACATAACATAAAGCTGAATTCCAGCTACATATAAAAGACAAATTAATTCAGCTCTGCTTTCATCAGCCTGATGGTTCTCCTTTCACTGTCCAGTTCTGAAGTGGAGTGTGGGAGGAAACCTAGATTTATTTAACCCATTCAAGTCCAGACACTTTTACACCCTTCCTGTCCAGGCCAATTTTCATCTTTCAGTGCTATCACACTTTGAATGACAGTTGCGCGCGGTCATGCAACACTGTACCCATATGAATTTTTTAGCATTTTTTTGAGACAGAGAAAACGTTATTTTGGTGGTATTTATTTACCACTGGGATTTTTTTTTGCTATATAAATGAAAAAGTCCAAAAATTTTGAAAAAAAAAGTGTTTTTCCTATAAAATTTTGCAAATAAATAATCTTTCTTCATAAATCTTGGCCAAAATGTCTTCAGCTATCTTTTTAGTTAAAAAAAGAAATAACCCAAATTAGTTTATAACTAAAAATTATAATTTTTCAAACTTTTTTTATATTTTTAGTTTATTTTTTTTATATTATTATTTATGTTTTGTTTTGTTTTTTTTTTTTTAACATACTGTCACCCTAGCAGTACAGTGTCACCATAGTGTACTACTGGTGGGGGGGTGACGAAGATTTTTTTTTTTTACACTGATTGCTTTTACACCCATAAGGGCTGTAAAAGCAATCATTTCTCCTTCTCTCTGGCTGCATTCTTGCAGCCATTGAGAAATACTGTGAGAGCTGTGATTGGTCACAGCTTGTCACATGGTACAAGGTTGTTGTGAATAGCCTTGTACCATGTGACCTCTGTGGTCACAGATTTCACAAGTAGCAAGCAATGATGTCAGGAAGTGACATCTTGTTTACTACTATTCATGTGATCACTGATTGGCCAATCAGTGATCACATGATCGGGGACCTCACACAGAGGTCCCGTACAGCGATCGGTGTTCCACTGTGTCCTAGGGAGCACGCACAGGCTGTAAATGCGGGTGCCATTTATGAACGACATCCAACTCCTGCACTACTCCTGCCCGGCCGTTATTGTACATGGGCCGGACAAGAAGTGGTTAATGGCAGCAGGATAAAATCAGGTGTCCTACCCTGCCAGCCACAGCGCTGTGTTGTGTGGCGGAGCTACAGTATGTAAATCTCAGGACAGGATAGGCAGGGTAAGCAAATTGTGTAAAAAAAAAAAAAATATATTGACCACTTCCACAAAGTAGTACATTGTTACTATGGTAACATTATACTACTTTGGTCATAGTGAAATATGAAAAAAAAATATTAAAAAAAGAAAAAAAATGTAATAAAAAATTAAAACTAATAATAAAATTAAAAAATGTAATAAAAAATTATCTTTTTTTGTACTGTCACCAGTCATCCAGTTATATGATGACGCTGTACTGCACTTGTGACAGTATGTAAAAAAAAAAGTGAAAATAATTTTTATATTTTTTAATTTTCCGAAAAATTATGACAAAATAATTACAACTTCAAAAAACTTGCCATGCCTCTTATTAAATACGTTGGACTGTCTACTTTGCAAAAAGTGGTCATTTGGGGGATATCTGTACTGTTCTGATATTCTTAGACCTCAAGAAATTAGATTGGCTGTCAGTTCTTTAGGACTGATCAATTTTCAGATATATACCATAGTTTGTGAACTCTATAACTTTCCTACAGACTAAATAATACATCCTAATTTGGGTTATTTCCACCAAAGAAATGTAGCAGAATACATCTTGGCCTAAATTTATGAAGAACAATTATTTATTTGCAAACATTTATAACAGAAACAAAGAAAATCGTGTTTTTTTTCATAATTTTCAGGTTTTTTTGTTAATTTAGCAGGAGACTGCTTGTTCCCAAAATAGATAACCCTTTCACAGGGTGAGTGGAAACACTCCTTTAGAGTGTATTAGCCACATGTGAAACCTGTTAGGTTTCATCAACTTTAGCCTTGGTTGCTTAAATAAAGCAGTATTCATCTAGTCAAGTTCATCCAAATCATACTCTTTCATCCGCATTACCACAAATATATTTGCTTTTTGGTCGTGAGGTACCACTTCCTTTCATCTACCTGCCATTTTGCCTGTCCACATCACCAAAAACATTTTACAAGGTCTTGCTCCCAGTCACTGTCATCCTGTCCAGGCAAAGTCTGAAAGTGTTCCATTATTTGGATGATAGTGGCACAGGGTCCTCAGGTGCTGTCCAACCATTGAGAGATCCCAGTCCAACCTCTGGTAAATCTTTGATGCATCATCAATTAGGGAAAGAGCCAGCCTATTCCCACACAGAGGATGACGTTTCTAGGGTAAATCCTAGACACCTGCAAGAATACAGTGGAGTTTCCACCAGGGAAGGTGATGGCTCTTATTTCCCATCTGAAGAAAGTGACATGTCAGTCTTATCTCCCAGCTTCCCAGTGTCTCAAACTGTTAGGAGCACTGTCAGCCACCATACCCGTGGTAAAATGGGCACATTGGTGTATGAGAATCTTTCAGGTGGAATTCTTGAGGCAGTGGAAGAGTCATTCTCCATGCCAAAGGATCAGGCTGAACCCATCGATGAGACAATACCTCAAATGGTGGCTGAAGCCTGTACCAATACATGAAGTGTGGCAGAACCTGTACCCATATGTGCATGCTGTCATGTTTCTGTCAGGAAATAGAGAGTCATAAAGAACGCAGGTTCCCTGTCCCTAGATCTCCCCTTCTCCCTGCACTCATAAATCCCCCTTGCTTTCTACCATTTACTTGCCACTTACAAGAGAGAGAAAACGTTGCCCATCCAGTCGCCACCCTGTCCTCTGGAGCCTGTGTGTAGCTCCCGACACTCTGTACTATCTACATGTGGGGCACCAAGCCATAAAACCTCCTATTGAGGCCTTTCATTACCCCTGGAGCCACAACATTTCAGTGGCCATGATGCGGGTCTCCTTTCCATGCTCTGACTGTGCCCACCTGAGGCAAAACACATGCTCCTAGCCAAGCTCCTGATGCAAGTGGGGTTCAACTGAACAGTGGGCACTTTTTCTAGGGCAGCCCGTTTTTTTGCATCAGGCTGATTGTCCACAGAATGAAAACCCTGTTCAGGTTTAAATACCTGGGCAGGGGATTAGCAGCATGGTGGCAGGCATTTTCCATTTGTGCCCTGTTGGGCTGCTGGTATGTGCATGTAAAAGGCTGTTAAATAATTTTGACTTTTCACTACTAGATGCTCCCATTTTGCACCAATGTGTCACCTGCCCTAAAACATCAGGAACCATCTTGGGAAAGCATGTGTCATATTTGGGCACATTGTTCTCTCTCGAGATTTGGGCAGCCATCAGAGAAAGAAGGGTATCATATAGCCCCTACTGTGTAATTTAGGGGAGCCAGCAGTGTGGAAAGTTACAGGTAGGGACAGAGACCCATTTCATGAGGGAGAGGTAGACCTAGTGACAGGGATATGTTCCTGAGGACAAGGGTTTTAAGGTTTGCCCTCGTATTACATAATTTGGTAAATCTAAAGTTGATTTTGCAATGATTGTATGCCAGCTTTAGACTGACAGGGGTAAGAGACAAATGGAGACAGGAAGAGAGAGCGAAACAACACAAAAGCTAGGATAGAAAATGACAATCTAAAGATAAAGAGGCAGCTATAGAGAACGAGAAAACCAAGGAAAGAGAACTGCAACCATTGGGAAAGAGAGAGAAAGGAAGATGACAAAGAACAATCTTAAAGTAGTTCTAAAAGCTGAGGGTTTTTTAACCTTAATGCACTCTATGCATGAAGGTAAAAATCTTCAGTGTGCAGCTTTCCCCCCAGCCCCCACCCCAATAATTACCGGAGCTTACCTTGTCTTGATCCAGTGATGTGCACAAGAGCATCGGCTATCCTGGGTCCCTCCCTCTTTATTGGCTCCCTCTGCTGTCAATTACAGCCAATGAGGAGGGAGCACGGGGCAGGACCAAGCTGCACTCTGTGTGCCTTATGGACTCACTAGTGTCCCCAGAGAAAGTGGCTTGCTCTGGGGGCACTTGGTAGGAGAGAGGGGCCAGGAGCACCGTCGGGAGACCCGAGAAGAGGAGGATCAGGGCTGCTCTGTGCAAAACCATTGCACAGAGCAGGTAATTATGACATGATTTTTTTAATTGTATAAATTCTATAGTGTCCATGTTGCTTCTATAGAAGTTTAGCGCCCGTAGAAGCTGTTCATTGTTATCCTGTGTCCATGCACATTAGGACATTTAGAGGCATATTTTAAGCTCAAAGTTTAGAGACCAAAAAAACCCCTCTGTCTTGCTTTTCTGAGGTTCCATGCACACTAGCTTACAAAACGCTCCTAGCAGAAGTGTTTAGAGTTTTTTCTGCCTCTATAAGCAAATAATGTTATCTTATGTTTCCAGAGGCGTTCTTTAAGCTCAGCGTTTGAGGAGCAGAAAAAAAAACTTTTGTTTGCATTTTTGAGAGCAATTTTCCAGCAGAAAAAACACACTGAATGCCCCTAAAAGCTGCTAAGAGCTGTGAATAGTCAGTTGTTAAGGAGCGGGCAGCCACCTGCATCCTTAACAACCGATGGCTCATCAACTGTCAGCAGGATTCCCCGCTAACAGCTGAATGTAAACAAAAGATAGTCGGCATTGAGAAAAAAAAACTGCATGGGGGTCCCCCCCAATCCATACCAGGTCCTTAGAGTCTGGTACAGCTTTTAAGAGGAACCCCATACCGCAAATTTAAAAAAAAAAACTTCATGGGCCCCCCTTCCAAAATAAGGGTCTGGTATGGATTTTGAGGGGAAACCCACACCAGAATAAAAAAATAAATGGCATGGGGTCCCCTCAAAATCCATACCAGACCCTTATCCAGGCATGCGAACCTGCAGGCCAGGAAAGGGGGGGACGAGTGAGCGCCCCCCCTTCCCTCTTTTGAACCATACCAGGCCACATGCTCTCAACATGGGCTCCCCCCCAAAGCACCTTGTCCCCATGTTGATGGGGACAACAGCATCTTACCAACAACTCCGGGGGGTGATTGTGGGGGTCTGTGGACCTATCATAACAAGGGCCCCCAGACTCTGCACCCCCCCCCCCCCTCCCCCCCATGTGAGTGAGTATGGGATATCCATTCACAAAAGAAGAGCAGTGTAAATAAAGACAGGAGCCTGTTTTTGATGTCCTTTTATTAAAAATATATATATTGACCCCCCCCCCCGATGTAGATCCATTGTCAATCATGATGAACGCCACTCTAGCAGAAAAAAAAGAGCTATGTATCTGACGCTGGCTCCCACTGTGTGGCAGCTCCACTTCGTAGTTGCCGTTAAACTAATAGGACGAGGCCACTCCTGACATCACCTGGTGACCACGCCCCCTTGCGACATCATCAACCTTTCCTGGTATGATGGGCTGCATGCCCGGATAAGGGTCTAGTATGGATTTTATTTTTTAATTTAGGACTCAAAGGGCCTGGTCAGAGGTGGACTGACAACTCATGGGGCCCCCGGGCAATAGGGGATCATGGTGGCCCTGTGTCCTTGCCCAAACTCAAAAAAGGTACCAGAGGCATCTCATGGGGCCCCCTACTGCCCCCGGGCCCTCAAGCAGTGCTCGAGTTTCCAAATGGTCAGTCCGCCCCTGGGCCTGGTATGGATTGGGAAGGATCCCCACACAGTTTTTTTTAAATGTAATGCTCACATTCTTTTAATTACATTCAGCTGTCAGAGGGGATTCCTGTTGACAGCTGATGAGTCCTCACCTGTTAAGGATAATGGCAGCCTCCAGCTCCTTAACAAACCACTATTTGCTGCGAAATCCCGGCAATATGCCAGCACAAAAACTGAAAAACACCAGCTAAAAATGCTAATATTGACTCATCATTTTCTTAAGCTCATAGTGTACAGTTGCAAGAAAAAGTTTGCATGAATTGGGCATAAAATGGGCTCTGAACGTCATCTAAGTCACAACAATAGAAGAACACAGTCTGCTGAACATAATACTACACACAAACATTAGATGTTGCCATGGTTCAATTGCACATAACATGTAAACATTCACAGTGCAGGGAGGAAAAAGTATGTGAGGCCCTA